TGATTTAAATCACAGGAAAACAGAAAAATGCCAATCTCATAGTAACTAAGATGCTGGTATAAACAAAACAGATACATAGCAATTAAATATAAAAAAATAATAATCAACTCAAATGGTAATTTCATATTCACAATCTCTTACATCAAAAATTTAATTATTTCTATAAAAACAAAAATGAATAGAAATTGGAACGCTTGATGACCACCTACTGTTTATAAAAAAAAGTAAAGATCATATTCTTTATGCAGACCCAATGGATAAAGTAATGACAATCTGTGAATTCATCTGACTTTTATCTTTCTAATCTCTACTGTATATATATATATATATATATATATATATATATATATATATATATATATATATATATATATAGTGAAGGAAATAAGTATTTGATCCCCTGCTGATTTTGAATGCTTGCCCACTCACAAAGAAATGATCAGTCTAAAATGGTAGGTGTCTTTCATACAGGTAACAAGCTGAGATTAGAAGCAGTCTCTTAAAGGGAGAGCTGCTAATCTCATTTTGTTACCTGTATAAAAGACACCTGTCTACAGGAGCAATCAAGCAATCAGATTCCAAACTCTCCAACATGGCAAAGACCAAAGAGCTGTCCAAGGATGTCAGGGACAAGATTGTAGACCTACACAAGGCTAGACTGGGCTACAAAACTATCGTCAACAGCTTGGTGAGAAGGTGACAATAGTTGGTGCAATCATTCGCAAATTGAAGAAATACAAAACAACTGTCAGTCTCTGTAGGTCTGGTGCACCATAAACTATCTCACCTCATGGAGTGTCAATGATCATGAGAACAGTGAGGAATCATCCCAGAACTACACGTGAGGATCTTCTCAATGTTCTCCAGACAGCTGGGACTGCAGTCACCAAGAAAACAATTGGTAACACACTTCACCGACAAGGATTGAAATCCTGCAGTGCCCACAAGGTCCCTCTGCTCAAGAAAGCACATGTCCAGGCCCATCTGAAGTTTGCCACTGAGCATCTGAATGATGCAGAGGAGGACTGGTTGAAAGTGTTGTGGTCAGATGAGACCAAAATCAAGCTCTTTGGTATCAACTCAACTCGCCGTGTTTGGAGGAGGAGGAGGAATGCTGCCTATGACCCCAAGAACACTATCCCAACTGTCAAACATGGTGGTGGAAACATTCTGCTTTGGGGGTGTTTTCTGCTAAGGGGACAGGACAACTACACCGCATCAAAGGGATGATGGACGGGGCAATGTACCGTCAAATCTTGGGTGAGAACCTTCTTCCCTCAGCCAGGGCATTGAAAATGGGTCGTGGATGGGTGTTCCAACATGACAATGACCCAAAACACACGGCCAAGGCAAAAAAGGAGTGGCTCAAGAAGAAGCACATTAAGGTCCTGGAGTGATCTAGCCAGTCTCCAGACCTTAATCCTGTGGAGGGAGCTGAATGTTCGAGTTGCCAAACGTCAGCCACCAAACCTTATTGACTTGGAGAGGATCTGCCAAGAGGAGTGGACCAAAATCCCTCCTGGAAAACGTCTGACCTCTGTGATTGCCAACAAGGGATTTGCCAACAAGTACTAAGTCATGTTTTGTGAAGGGGATCAAATACTTATTTCCCTTATGAACATGCAAATCAGTGCATAATTTGTTAGACATGCATTTCTTTTTTAACTTTTTGTTGCTATTCTGTCTCTTAGTGTTACAATACACCTACCATTCGATTTTTAGACTGATCACTTCTTTGTGGGCAAATATTCAAAATCAGCAGGGGATCAAATACTTATTTCCTTCACTGTATATATAGGGGTTAGAAAAAATGGAAACAATACATGATTTGCAGGTATGAAAGTGATGACATGTTTCGAGTTGAAAGTGGAAGTGATGTAACATTCTTTTGCTTCCGCTGTGTGATGAGACACCTAGCTAACATATGGGAAGCCTCACTTTTGTAATTCACTGTGTGCATTGCTAGTAATACAGAGTCATGTCAGAGCTTCAAAGAGCTTTAGCTGGTGCCTTTGTGACTAAAGTGACCAATTTATTTTGCCGTGTTGTGAGGTACAGTATCAAAGGTTATGATGGCATATACAGTTTCTGGTAAAACGTTGTCTAATAAGCATAAGCGCAGTTGACATGGTCAACTGACTGAAAAAGACAAAACGACATTGCACAGAATTGTGACCTGGAATAAATAAACAACTGTTGCAAAAGTGACTGCAGAGCTCAATCTCAGTCTCACCTGTTAGCTAGGTGCCTCATCACACAGTGAAAGCCAAAGAATGTTACATGCCTTCCACTTTCAACTCAAAACATGTCAGTCACTTTCACACCTGCAAATTGTGTGTATATATATATATATATATATATATATATATATATATATATATATATATATACACAGTATATGTCAGGGCTCCCAGGTGTGACCAGAGGTGTGTGTGACGCAGGGAAACGCAGACCTCATAAACGCAGTGCAATACTAAAACATAATACAGTGCAACCAAACCAAACCAACCACCCACAGATAACAGTACATACAAGCAAGCGTCGTCAGGCAGGCCGGGTCAATATCAAAAGGGCAGGTAGGTACAGGGGAGCAAGCGGAGATTGGTCGGGGTCACAGGCCAGGTTCAGCAGGTAGCAAGCAGCGTAGTACAGAGGGTAAGGCAGAGGGATGGTCAGGGTCACAAGCCAGGGATCAGAACAGGTAGCAAGCAGCGTAGTACAGAGGGTCAGGCAGAGGGATGGTCAGACAAGCCAGGGATCAGAGCAGGGTCAGCAGAGAATCAGACAGGAACAGAGAGCAGGAACAGGATACAGGGCCCAAGAGAACACAACACCAAGGCAGAGTCTGCAAGTCTGGCCATCCCTAAAATACCCCAGCATAATCAGTTCCAGTGTTAGCTGGCTGCAAAGTTGAGTCTCTGATTGCTGGGAGCATCCGCTGGCCAGCCCTGGTACTGCAGATCAAAAGGCAGGTGAGTCCCACCATTGCTGGCTAGTCCATTCCTGACAGTATATCTGTGAGCCTAAAGGATAAGTTCTCCTTTTGACCAAAAATAATAAATGCACATTTAAAAAATGTGCATTTATTATTTTTTGGATGCAGGAGCCTGTAAAGCATTGGTGGTGCCATGCAGGTCTCCTGAGGAACTGTCAGAAATCTGCTTGCGCTCCATAGCGTTGTGGATGTTCATTGAGAACTACAAACTGACAGCCACTAAGGGCGGAGCTTCTCCCTGTACTTCTGTCATGGGGGGGATCAGCCAGTAGCTGCAGCATTGGGAACATGTTACATCCTAAAAACGGGTGTGAAAGACAAGGTGTCTCAGCATGTATATAAGACTGGCAAACAGTGTAAAAAACCTTTTCCAAAATGGCTGCTCCGCAACTTCCGGTTTACGTCCGAGGTCACGTCTGACGTCATCTGAGGCTCTTTGGCACTTGTGGAAGAAGAATATTCACGAAGAAAATATTAGTACCACTGGTTATTTTATACACAGAGACGCTGAATAAAAGTTGGACTGTTTTGGACTTTTGGGAGAGAAAGTGTTTTTTTGGCGTTGGGGGTTTTTCATTTGTTATATTTTGGTTTATTATTTTGTGTTATCATCTAGTAGTATACTGATCTATTTATTTATTTAGTACACATCTGATACTTCTTGCATTTGCTGGATGTGTGTTGTCCTTCTGAAATCAGTTCAGCAGCAGCCAGTACATACATTTTTTTCCTCTATGGTGAACACTGTGGGACTAACCTGAAAGACCAAAGAAAACTGAAGCAAATTATGTTGTACAAAGTTTTACAAAAACCCAGAATGAGAAGAATTTTATTACTTTGCATTACCCATCAAGGTTAGTAGGTACATGTGCTCGCTATGTCTGGGTAGATTTCAGCCGTGTGGTTTCTCTTTTTAAAGCAGGAAAACTCAAGGGATGTGAAAGAGTGTGTATATTCTTTAAAATTAGTTTAACTACAATATAATTTGTTATATGTTAAATAAAATGCAGACACATTTTCTGCTTGATTATTGTACGTTTCTATAATTACAATAATATTTTAAAAATGTTTTTAAGCATTTACTATCCACTAAAACTGCATCTTTTTTTTTTTAGAGTGAAATTTATTTTACTGTCGAGTACTGGGGCTAGTCAATCAAACACAATGGTCCAATAATATTGTGGTTCCAAAACGTAAGAAATTAATTAACATATTTAGGTTGAATGTCAAATATCTTGTTGAAAATTGTGAGCACACAGCTCTTTATTGCGGAATAGACATGCTATGTCTCTTCTGCAATAACATACATTTACTTGCCTGCTTGCAGTCTTCTATTGAATGTTCACTGAGCTGTGCATGCGGAGCTCAGTGTGCATTTCCAGAACACTCCAGCCATGCCAGAATGATTTACTCCAGTGCACATAAGTGGGTGATGCCACCCCCCACTGGCAATTGAAATGATGAAAACCTGACGTGGAAGTAGCCTAAGGAGAATACAGCAGTAGTCAGCAAGGGATGTAACCTCTGTACGGGGGCGGACTGACCATTTGGAAACTCGGGCACTGCCGGAGGGCCCAGGGTCAGTAGGGGGCCCCATGAGATGCCCCTGGTACCTTTTTAATAACCTTTTTTTTTACTTTGGGCAAGGACACAGGGGCCCCATGATCCCCTATTGCCCGGCGGCCCATGAGTTGTCAGAACGCCCCTGCCTCTGTATCACTGGAAGTTGAAGGCACGCATTTTTGGGAGTTTAGTTCCGCTTTAATATCTGCAAACAGTTCAAGTCATAAACCTCCGCACAAGGAGAAGGTTATTTATTTTCAGTCATGTGACTGATTTTCAAATCTCATATGATTTGGCTGAAAATAGCTGCCATTTGTTTGGAAAATAGGTATCCTTATCCTGGTGTTTAGGATTTGTGAATTGAGCTTAATGCCATTTTGTTCATCCTCTATATTATAGATCACCAATAAACATTAAAGTGTTACTAAACCCAGGACCCTGCATTCACTATATCTGGTCTCCCACAGTACACACAACATGGAAATGCAATTATTTTAGTAAATATAAACTGCTTAATACCGTTTCTCATCAGCAGTTGGAGCAGTCTTGTGACTTCTATTAGTGTTCAGCAGAGTACTGGTTAAAGCTTGTAGGAGGAGTTTTCATTCTGCTCTAGGAGGATGCAGAAACCCTGACCTCTGTCTGGACAGTGCTGATTGGCCCTGTGCTGATCACATGCACTCTCCCAAGAAGAAAAAAAAAACCTCTCTAGCAATACACACCAAACTGAGCAAGTGCAGAGTGACTCCACACAATATGTCTTATCAAGAGATAAGAGGGAGACAATGGAAGATGGGGAGGATCAGAGAAGTCAGGATTAAACAGCAGTTTTACACAATTCAGAGGATTAACCCCTTGGGTTCCACAGTGAGAATAAACAAGCATGCTTTACTGCAAATACAGACTGATTTTACTGTTGTGGGTTTAGTAACACTTACTTCTGTGTCAGCAACCACAGTGTTTTCAATTTAAATTTGAATTAAATAAGTAACAAATTGGACATTATTTCTTAAAATTTTTTTTATGGGAATGTGCCTTTGAACCCCTTAAAGTCTGGTCAGATTCAGACAGTTGAAATTAAAATTTAGTCAATGTGTGAATCTGATTAATCATTATAAGGCAACAAAGACAGAGGTGACACCAATGTATACAGCAAAGTAAAGCTGCTGTCCAAAGGTGCCCCTGTGCTCCTTCATGCAGAGTGGGGGCACTCTATTACAGAGTTGTGTTACTGGCCAGATCACCAGGTGAAAACAGAGGGGAAAAAGACTAAAAAAAGAAAACAAATGCAGCCACCACATCTAAGGATTCGTAAGCTACAACATGTTACATTTTTGGGTTTGGGTTTAATACCACTTTAATGAAATAAAGTATTCTGAGAGTAGCCCATTGACTATATAAGCCTCATCATTACTGCCACATTCTAATTATTTATACAGATCTGAAGAGAAGCTGGACTTGTTGTCCATTGGTCACATTTCTTGTTTTATTTGAACAATTAAACTTCAGCCATGAACTTTTTGTTTATGAAAAAAACTACTCCAGAAATGAAAAACTTTTTCCAGGTTTCAAAAATTCAACCAAAATTACTTTATTTGGATAATTTCCTCATAAAAATGCCTGAATCTTTTTTTTCCAGAAAGAGAATTTAACGAAACTGTTGAACCTGGTGGCCGAAGTGGAGGAATGATTGTCGTAACTACCATACTTTCTATTTTACTAGCTGTTTTGGCAATAAGCTTAATTGCTGCATTAGTTATTGGAGGGTAAGAAAACATTTTAAAGCCTAATCATCCTTTAAACATAACTTATTATTTGAGACATGAGATGATCATTAACTATTCAGCTAATCTAGAACAGTAGTATGTCCATTTGCACCCTTCTACTAGCACAGAAATGTGTACATTGTCAGGGCCTTATGTTGATTGAAGTAATGATGTAACATGTCCCTGCTAATCTTTAACCTCTTCGCGCCGACCGCACACAAATGTGCTGCCTCCCAGTGTCTGGGCCTAGACGCCGAGCGGCCACACATTTGCGTTCTAGTAAAAACAAAACATATGTGCTGAGAGCGCGTGCCCTGCGCGCTCCCAGCACACATGTCCATTACTCACGGAAAGGTCACGGTCTCCTCTTTCGATCGGGACCTTTCCCGATCATGTGACCGCGGTGATGACACGTCACGGCGGTCACCTGATCCCTAAACCCCGCTCATCCCGCCTCCCGGCTTCTGAAACTGTTAAAGGGCCAGGAAGCGCCGGCGTGAAGGGGTTAAGGAATTCAAAATGGCTGGCCCCTGTAAATGGACAGATATTCATTTACCAGTCTGACAGCCCATGTCTCTTACCTTACCCCTTACCTCCACTCTAGTACTACAATCCCAGTCATACTTCCAGCATTCAACACTTCCAGGAGTTTTGGATGCCTGTGTCCCTCATCATGTGCTGTAGTCCTTTCCTCCAAACCCCAACATCTTTACAGAACTCAACAGTGTCATGTGGCTGAAGAAAAGAGTCGTGGCATGCATTGGAAGACTCCCAGAAATACTGAATGCTGAAGAGTCTTCTCATACATTGTTGATGGGTAGGCAACTGCTGTCTATGACTAGCTTAAAACTCAGTTTAAGCTTCGTCATATATTACTGTAATGCAATCAGGCTGCATAAACAGTAATAAATGTAGACTTCTTTTTATTCCAATTGTCCTATTTGCCTTATAAGAGTAAAGCTTGGTTCACACTGGGGACTGAATGGAAAAAAAACCTGACAGATCGCCATACCAACACAAGCGACATTGGTATGGTTAACTCCCCCGCTGTGTCTTTGCATTCTGACAGGGGCTTCCTCTTGAACTGGCTGATTTTCAGCCAGTGTGTACTCAACTTTAAAATACACTGTGCTAGCTACACAGAGTGCAATGAACTTGATATCCAGCAGTCTAAACACCCAACCCAATCTCCCAACCCCACTTTGCCCAAAACCACCACCTGCCCAGTGCTCCAATCAACAGCATTCAGGCTCCACCAGCAGTACGGTTGATTACAGCACTGTATCAGACCACTGGAGACCAAGACAGCTGCTTTAACCTTTTTGTCAGACTGACTTTCTATCTGTTTGGGTGTTGAAAATTTTTGTAGATGTCTATAGGACCAATACATCGACAAGTCAGAAAGAGTCCCAGACGTGAAACTTTTTCATGCATACTAATAGTTACTCTATCTTTTATGTATAACAGCTTTTCTTTTTTTTTTTTTCAACTACAGCGAAAGAACTTTAATACTTAATAAAATATTTAAATTTGTCATTAGGCCCATAGTTCATGTAAAACCAAGTATTTAAATATTGTTTCATAATATCTACATAGTGCTATTGACATCATACATTAGCTGTCAACTGCCTGGAAAATATTGTTAAAGCAGGCCTTTAGCCGAAAATAATTTTTTTTTCTAATTTGAGGCATGAGTACTTTTTTGACAGGTACTGACTCCCACTTTCATACTATTCACCAAGCCAGAATGACAAGCTCAGCCCAACCCTTCCCCAGTCAAACCACAGCCACCTGGGATAACGCATCACACATCCCAGAAGGCTGCTAGACCAGTCCCTCTGTGTCACTCAGTCTTGGGCAGGTGCAGTTGGAAGCAAACTATAAACTATTGTAAAGTTACACGTGGCTCCAAAATCTTTCTTAAAAAGTCATGAGCTACAGTATTTGTAGCTGCTGTGCTAGCCTGCGCACAGATATTTGTCCCGGAGAAACATTGGCATGACCTTCCTGACATCCACATTCAAGATGTTGCTGTGTGGGGAGGTAGACCCCCATCCCCTCTCTAAGCTGAGTTATCTGATACTATTATTAGTGCTGCCAGTTCATTCATAATAGTAAAAGATCATACAGAGCTGTGGCTCTGTGTAATCTGTCTGCAGATGCCCTGTATCATATCTCCAAACTTTGTCACTTATGAATGAAGGACACCCTGGGTCTGAGAAAATAAGCAATTTGCTCCAAAAATGGGCATGGTATAATTGTCTAAACCTATAAACGGTATACACAGTATGCAGTCTGCACTGCTTGTACCCACCTCATACTCCATTATGACAGTGCTGTTTCACTTACATAAACCTACTGTATAGGCTCTATAAAAAATCCTAAATCGTAAAAGAGATTGCTGAGCACTCCAGAGCTGTGTATATTTAGATGCAGCCACAGACAGATACACAGTGCTGCAGACTGTGTGATCTTTATGAATGGCATTGCTGGTCTCCAGAGTGGCCCCTACTGCCAGAGACCAGTGCCGCCACTCACAAATTCATCTACTTTCTAGGAGTGTTTGTCAGGCAGTGGGGGGCAAGCTAAACAAACACAGAAAATTCTTTACTCATGCGCTGGGGATGGACTCAGCAGAGGCTAGAATGACAATGTAAATGTTCTGGAATATGCACTGCTTGCTGCCCTCAATGGACCGGGGTAGTCCAAACTCACTAAATGCAAATGAAAAAACAAAAAGAGGGCGCACCGGCCTAGTGCATTATCATTTTAAATATTTATTGAAAGTATAAAAAAGTAGGTATCATACTCACAATGGACATATAAAACATAGGCATATCACAATGAACAAAGGTGTTTAATCCATATAGCATCTAAGTCCACCAACTGGCTAATGTGTTTCGAGGGCTCTGAGGAAGAGGCTGAGTCTTCGAAACGCGTCAGTAGGTTGGTCACCCAGGGTTCCATCATATGGACTCAGCTGCTATATGGATTGAACACCTTGTTCATTGTGATATGCCTATGTTTTATATGTCCATTTGTGAGTATGATACCTACTTTTGTATTCTTTCAATAAATATTTTAAAATTATAATGCACTAGGCCGGTGCGCCCACTTTTTGATTTTTCATTTGCATTTAGTGGGGGGCAAGCTGTCTGACCACCAGGGCTGGATCTAGGGCGGTGCATTTTGTGGTGGGCTTTGCCCCCCCAGATTTAAGTGGCACCCCCCCCAAGGACAAGTGGCAAATCATGATGTTCTCTGTCACAGCACAGGACCCCCCCAAAAACACCCTGGAAATAGCTGCCAGTTCCTTGTTACCTGTGCCAACCCGTTTCAAATTGAACTAAATGTGATTTTCAGATTATGCATACCATTTATTTAGCAATGTGCAAGGGTCAGCAGTTGCTGACTGCAGGCAGTCAAAACAACAAAAGTTTCATTTGTGAAGAATTCTGATTTCAAGAATTATCTTTCTCTGAACTGAAAATATGACTTTTCTGCAATTTACCAAAAGGCTCAGTTTTACAAATTCAATAAAGTGAATACACATTCCTTAATCAGAAACCAAGAACAGAACGGATAGTGGTTCCCCAAAAATTGGATTCTTTTGATTCTAACAAACGAATTTATTCCCAAAAACAGAACTCCGAAAGCAATGTTTCGGTATAATTGTCAACATTAGAACATATACAGCAACAGGTTAATTTTGTATGTACCTATTTATTTTGATTTATCTGTGGTTTATTTTATTAGCAATATTGTATAATTTGGTTTACTCAGCAACATTTGTACAGATATGTTGTTTTGTTGTCGTAAACAATCCCTTTTTTTTTCTTTTAATTAGTCGGGACATTTGTTGGAAACAAACGCTGCACTACAATGTAGGTGTATATGGAAATTTTGATTATTTCACCCGTGGCACCTATAAACCACATTATGAGCATTTCGACTCCTTTCGTGGCAAAAGACCTCTTTCTCAGGACATGTAAACAAAAAAGTTGTGTTTCTCTATAACTATACAGTACCGTATATGTTGGTGTTTTGTAACTGTATACTGATTTCATTCTGCAGTGTAAATAGAAATGAGAATGAATGTATGTACATGTCATAAAGATTGTAACATATAATTACCCTTCCAAAGTGACTGCTACCTAAATT